CCTGATTGCTCAAAGTTATTCTACAAATATTAAATGTGCTGCTAATTACTACATGAAGGCAAAACAGCATCTCACTTTTTTCTTTATGCTAACATGATTCTTGATGTAATGATTTATAATAATTTCAAATTAGCAGGAACCCACTGTGTAATCAAACAAGTACGGGAAGTTTTAAAAGAGGCAGCCATCTGGTTCTGATCCATGGCCCTTTGGATAACGAAGACCAACTTGATCTTTCAATAAAACCTGCAGAGATGCATGATTATGGTTTGTTTAACCAGGAAAATTACACTCAGATTAAAAAGAAAACTTTTAAAGGAGTTGTGGACAATAGGAGCAAAAGTTACACATTCTTACAGTAAGATTAGAAAACTGAAATACCAAAGAAATGATGAAAGATGAAAGATTTTGTCCACAGTTTCCTAAATCCAGTTTCCTGCAGCCCCTGCATAGCCTTAGAATTCAAGCATACCAATGTCCCAACCTCCTGGTGGACAAATAAGACTGTCCCACTCCACAGTCCATGATGGGTCAAGGCTTTACAGTTGGTACCAAACCTCAATGACGCATTAAACCAATGTCTGTCTGAAGACATGGAGTTCAAGGGTTCATTTACACCAGGTCTCCATAACCAGCTCAACACTGAGGTAGCATATCAGATCCAACTAAGGTCTGCAGGACTCTAAAAAATAGTTTTATTCATAAACTCATCACTTAATCAGATGTATTGTATTCCATGTCCAGGTACGACTCCCCTGCAGGTGACTTCTTGCTGTTGTTTAAGTGTGTTTAAAGATAATTTCCCATACCCAACCCATCAGAACTGCTGTTTAGTTGTCTAACAAGGATTCTCCTAGGGTTTTGAAATAAAAAGGGAAATAAAAAAGGAAATAAAAAGATAGAAAATCTCAACATGATGTCCTGTCCGGACCAACAGTGATGCCGGAAGGGACGATTTAGTTTCTGTTAAACCGCTTCTCCTACAGAACAATATTTCTAATATGGTTTAGATCACTGAGCACAAAAGTTCAGAGGTCAACTGATTCCACTCTAGGAGCTTGTGGTGATGGTGGAGCTCTCTGCTTGCTGGCTGGAGAAGGTGAAGCTTTGGGTGGAGTTTAACAAAGAGGATGACCTCAGGGATTTCTATCTGGGCTCTAAAGTCATTCATCCACCAGGGGCCACAAAGGAGGCCCTGTGGGACACCATCATCACCAAACTTCTGACTTCATCTTCCAGGAACCAGAGGCTAATTCTCCTCAGGATCTGGTTTCTGACCTGTGTTTTGTTTGAAAACGCTGAATTAAAGGATTCTTAAGGTTACTGGGTTTAAGTCAGGATTTTGTATTTCTTACTTGGGTGTGTAACCATGGTAACCATGAGTTTCTAACACTCACTTCAAAAGTTTAAAGCCTGTTTCTCAATTCACAAGTACGGACTCGTGTCTTTGCCAAGTATGTTCTTGAGAACAATACAGGAAAGTCTGGACTTGGTGAGAACGGGAGCACAAAGTATAAATATTGGTCAATTGAAACAGAAGTGTACTCATGATGTCACCGCATGCCTGGCTTCTCTAGAGCTGCATTTCACCTCCTGATATTAATAGTGTCTAGATAATAATAAATTCTTCCTTTTTTAGTGGGGGAATGATAATGAACAAAGTCAGATAAACACAAATCAAATTAACATTTTGCCAAATAAAACAAAAAAATTGCCATCAGAGCCAGTGGTACTTCACACACGGCTATGCCAAGAGAGGGCTTCTGCAGATGGGCTAAGGTTAGCCCTGGCTGCCGTTACCCTCGGAGGTCCGCTGGTTGCTGCGGTCCTCTCAGCTTCAAAATTTGTTTTTTTTAATTACGCAGTAAATTGACCATATAGTGGCGCTTTAAAAGTATAATATTCTTGCCTCAAATGAACTTAAAACATACTTTTATTTAACAACAGCAACAGAAAAGAGAACTTTTAATTTAATACTGAGATATGTGAGTGCTCCATTAAAAGCTGCTGCTGCCGCAATGCATGCTGGGACAGCTGTCAATCTCAAGAACGGACAATTGTGCTCTGATGCACTTGGTAAATAGGGAGTGACGAGAACAACATCCGGGGACTTTGTCCGTTCTCGGGTTCTCGGTCTGCTGTTCTTGTGAATTAGAACACAAGCATATGAGAACGCACAAGTACACATATTGAGAAACGGCCAAAATGTCTCTGACAACATGGAAAAGCATCCTGCTTATTTTCCTTAAAAAGCGCATATCTTGATAATAGAATCTCTGCAGGACTGATGCAGATGGACCCTAACACGGGCTTCAACATGACAGATTTCTCCCATTTGTAGCCAAAAACCGAGCTGGACCTTTCCTTCTACTGATGCATACATATGCATATTTATACAGTGTGTAGCATTAGCCAGAGCTGTAGAGTGGATGTAGGTCAGAGAACACAGGTTCCTCCATATGTTCAGCTGGGCTCTGAACTGAGCCAAGCTCGTCCTGCTGACCTGCAGCAGCATTCCCTCTGCTGAACCATTACCTTATATCTGCTGAGCATCAACAAAACCATGACATTTTTGTTTTTTTAACAGAACTCTTGCTGTCTCTGTATCGGACACATACAGTAATCCGTTTTTTTTTATGTTCAACTGCTTTTGAACCAAAGTAGAACTTTATTCCAATGTTCTGATCTGCTCTTCTTTATTATGGCATCTCTCTTGCCTTCTGTTTCCAGGAGTATATAATATCTGTTTTTTTCAGTGAACCCACACAGAATGTCCTCCCTGGTGTGGTTTTGGCTCATTATTGTTGGGTTATAATGTTCTTAGCCTCCTAATTCCACCAGCTTAGCCCTTGATCAGCATCGGTAGCAGGTGGCTGCAAGGACAGGAGTGGGTGGTCAGAAAATGTCGGTCAGAGAGGATTCCACAAATGAGACATTATCCAGACAGGCCATCACATAAGGCTATCAAATCTTGTTGGAGCAGCTTTAATTGTTTCTGGGCTGGTTGGTCAAATCTGAGCTTGTGTTTTTGACCTTCTCCTCTCATTCTCTTTCTTTAAGACAGCAGACTGTGTGACTCACATTAGAGCTCAGCTCAGCTTAAAAAGATAAACGATCCACTTGACCTGTGATGGAGTTGGAAGCTCCATCTCCAGCCTGAAAACTCCCTCTGCTCTATCAGGAGGATCTCTGTGTCTGCTGCTGCCTCTCCCATTCTCTGTCGTCCTCATCGATGCTCTGTGAGATTAGAATCGCTTAGAGAGTCCCTCCTGAAATAAAAATGCTTTTGCTGCTTTTTCACACACATAGAAACACAAATAGTTATTCTCCATCCATCCAATTCAATTCAGTTTATTTATATAGCGCCAATTCACAACACGTCATCTCAAGGCACTTTACAGTTCACCAGATCATACAGTCAAATTGATTCAAAGTTTTCTATCTAAGGAAAATCATCTGATTGCATCGCCTCATTGACTCAAAGGCAATCCCTCACACTGCCTGGCTGTGTGTTTCCTGGACAGGGCCGCCTTTTGCAGCTGCTTTTAGTATCTCTGCTTCTGTCTCCTTGAACCCCAGTCGGCCTCAGCAGATGGCCGCTCACACTGAGCCTGGTTCTGCTGGAGGTTTCTTCCTGTTAAAATTGAGTTTTTCCTCTCCACTGTCGCTACAAGCATGCTTAGTGTGAGGGATTGCATTTGAGTCAATGAGTCGATGCAATCAACTGGTTTTCCTAAGATAGAAAACTTTGAATCAATTTGACTGCATGATCTGGTTGAATTGTAAAGTGTCTTGAGATGACTTGTGTTGTGAATTGGCGCTATAGAAATAAACAGAACTGAATTGAATTACAGATGTTTTCGTCCCACTGAACACCTTAGTTTGAACATGAAAAAAGGATATCCTGATAAAATACAAACAGCAAAACAATTCCAGCCAACCTTACCTTGTGTGGAAAATAACTCCTAGTAAATATCAGACAGAAAAAAAAAATCTGTAGGGAGTGAATAATTCAACTCGGCTCTGTCTATTTTATGATATCATTAAAGCAACCAAAAATCATCAGTTTTAAATGCTTTGATTATGTGCGCTGGCTTAATTGTTCTTCTGTTGCTTGACATTCATCATTTTAAACCAGCTTTTACTCTCCTTACTAATACAGGATTTAAAATGGATTAGAAGCAAAGAACCTCATGGATGAGGTGGAAATCTGGAAAGTAAATAAAGCACAGTGTAGGAATCTGCTGCTGCTCAGCGATGAATGTTTCCTCAATAAAAGCTAAAAACAGAATAATCCTCGAGTCTCTAACTGATGATGTGACTTTGATCAGACCATTTCCTCATAATGATGGTCTGAATGTGGCGGTATGAGTGGATATGAGTCAGACCTGGGAGGGTTCTGAATAACTAAACCACAGTAAAATGATATAAACATGATTTTAATGTGAGCACTTTCTTTTTAACATAGTGAGTGGTCTTCAGCCCACCCCACAGCCTCCAGTGTCTCCTCTCAATAGGCAGCATACATCAGAGTCTGACAGCATGGCCATAACGCATAAAGACAGTCGGGCTGCACTCAGAAAGCCACGCAGGGAAGCCCATTATGGGCCTCTTTATGCATTCATATCAGACCCGTACCGGCGCTCGATTGGGTTCAGCGGGCCACAGCTCTGGGTGCAGGGCCAATATACACAGAGCATAAAACATTAATGGAGCGTCTGAGCCAGCTGTGGGTCTCTGCTGTAGGTGAGGGTCCAAAACCCGCAGGAAGATAAAAAATAGACCCGACATCTGCTCACAGAACCAGTCCACATGTTAGTTCTGTGTCTGATCTGGTTCTTTCTCTGTTCAAAGCATTCCCAAGCTGCTTTTCTGTGTCTGGTGTTGGAAGCAACAATAACTGAGGCTTTTAAACTAACTCACTGTCTCATAAGAATATTAACTCTCTCATGACTAAGAGGCTTAGTCCAGCTGCTTAACCTCTGCTTTCTGCTCCCCAGCTCTACATTCAGACCACCACGCTCACCATCTCCATGAACCTGAGCGCCTCTGTCGCCCTCGGCCTGCTCTACATGCCCAAAGTCTACATCATCATCTTCCACCCTGAGCTCAACGTGCAGAAGAGGAAACGATCCTTCAAGGCTGTGGTCACCGCCGCCACCATGTCGACCCGGCTCTCCCACAAGGCCAGTGACCGGCCCAACGGAGAGGCCAAAACAGAGCTGTGTGAGAACGTGGAGCCCAGCAGTGAGTATTGACAGAACACAGAAGTCAAATGTCATCTCCTTAGAACTCATGTAGAAACTTATTGAAGGTACTAAATGAAGAATACAGAAGGTTCCTGGTGAAACCATACTGCCTACGCTGCCAATACTCCGACCACAGGATCATTAAAGGGTTACTTTGTTAGGTTTAGTGCCATCTATTGGCAACAACACAAACTACAACCATAAGAGAAGAAATGTTCTTTGGTTGCTGGTTAAACTATCCTTCCATTAACAGAACCAAGTGCAAGAATCATAGGTTTTGTCCAGCAGTGTACACAGAGAGTGTCTCCAATAGGGCTACAACTAATGATTATTTTGCAAAACAATTAATATTTGGACTTTTTTTCAATTAATAATCACATATCCAAAGGTTCCTTAAAGAAGATTAATCCTGATTGATCTAATTAATTGTTTCAGCCCTAGCCTCCAGTACTTCATAGAGACACACAGAATGGACAACCACACACATTCACACCTGAGGGAAATTTAAAGAGACCAGTCAACCCAAATGTCTTGTTTTAGGGAAAGCTGAAGTAGAGCTAAACCGAGCATGCAACAGGACGATGACGCTTACTCCATGCGGAAAGATCTCGACCAGGATGTTGTTTTCTGGCTGTGTTAGCAGAGGTGCAACCCGGCAGCCATGTGATAAAAAATGATTCTTATGATTGATTTAATGTTCCTTTAAATCTTTGTGTTGTTTCTGAACATTAAAGGTAAAGGAAGTAGAGGGATTGTTTTTATTCACTGACTTCTTACAGACATTATGTGCTTTAACCAAAACCCCAAATGTTCCAGCATCGATTTCATCAACATTTTTTCTGCAGTTTTGAAGTTTTGACTTCAAGCTGAGAGCAAAAACACATTCCTGGGCTTTTTTGGAAACATTAAGTTGAATAAAACAGAGAAATAAGCAGGCTGTATGATTAAGGTGGAGTAAGCGGGGCTGGGTGGGGTGCTCATGTTGATTTATTAGAGCTGGGTGAGTTGCTGGTCAGGACCAGCAAGTGACCAGAACACCTGCAAGGCAAGCTGATCAGACGGAGATGGTAATTATTGATTAATATTATTGATCTGGTCCAAAGTCAAAGCAAATTCCAGCATTTCTGCCTGGGAAAACCTTGTTCTGATTGGTCGGGTTACAAACCTCCTAGAGCTGCTGGAGAAGAGCTATCTACAAGCAAAAGGGAAGTGTGTACAAAATGAACCGCTTTAAATACCTGCTCTATCATCACCTGACAGCGATTAAAAAGAAAACCAGCACATTTAAAGTAGCCAAGTATATTACAGGCTCCTTTGGATCCCCAAATTGTTTATGATTCATGAGGTCAGTTCTGTATTTTAACAGAAAAGGTTTTGCTTAATGAACTCGTAGCATATGATACATCTACTGCTACTAGTTATACATAGTAAGTGCAAAACTGAGTCTGCCTCTTTCATATTTTCTGTGCTGATTTTAAACATAAATCTTTGGTTGTTTAAAGTTGCATTATTCAATAGAAAATGAGCCATAGTAACTCATATCCAATGAACCATCAATGAATTTACTTTTTTATGCTTCTGAACATGTGTAAATTATTGCTATTTAAATTAAACCAATTAAGCAAAGTTACAATTTTATTTAATAGAAAACACAGATATATCGTTTGATGTGTACAATTTTATTAACTGAATTTATAAGAACAGGACAAAAGACGAGGTTCTAAGAAATGTCAAGGATGATTACCTTTTATAAGAGGCTTTGTTGGGTTTGTTTTAGCTTCTTTTTGGCTTCTGATTTGATAGTTTTCAAATTACAAAATCATTTAATGAATGAATGAATGAAGGAATGAATGAATGAACAAACAAATTAATTAATTAAAGACTTTATGTTAAACAGACTACTAAAAAAGCAGTAAAGAATCAAATCAACAAAAAAAAAATACAAATTCCTTATGAAAATATTATAGTTAATGTCATATAATTCTATATAATGTATAATTTATTGCTTTGTCTGAAAACAAGAAAAAATTGTTTAATTATTCCCCTTCACCTTCCTCTAATCCATAACACCAGCAATATTCCAGATTCCTGTTTAACATACTAGTCCATTCTGCTTCAAGAGTCCATCAGCTGAGCAAATAAATAACTTTTTGTACATATAAACATATACACATTCATTCTTCATTCATGCTATTATTACTCAAAGCTCACAGAGCATTGCAAAAAATATGGATACACCATACAGCAGAGGTTACTAAGCTTTTTAAGGCTGAAGGCTCACCTAAACTTCATAAATAGGAAATATATTTTTATTGTTTCTTTTCAATTCTAATGTTTTTTTAGATGTCATTTTGAAATATCTATAAATGCTTAAATGCTCGATATGATTAATATGATCAAATAGTGTATAAATTATTGAAAACAGAATGAAATAAAACTCCAGATGTGGTTGTTCTGTTGTGTTTTGTTTTAAGGAGACCCTGATGGTCCTTAAGGGCCCTCTGAGGGCCCCTTGGTGCCCTACGGGCATCGTGTGGGTTACCCCTGCATTACAGTATCTAGAGTACCCACTGATATCGTTTTTGGAAAACCAGTTTGAACCTTTTCCTATTCAGTCTCCTGCTTAGACACAGATTTAATTCAGCACCATTTATTGAAATGCAGATTGTTTTCATGTTTGTTTGAGCATGTAAGATTTAAAAATTTAGATTGTCTCAGGAATTAAACCCTCCCTCTCTCAACAAACAGGTTTTGTATGCTGTCTGGTATCTGTTATTTCTAGCTTTATGCATTAGTTAAGAGGTTTAAACAAATCAGAGAATATAAGCAAGGGAGGAATGAATATTGGATTAATGTGGTCATGACTGCCAGCCTGATGAATTATCCTGACAGCGTTCTTCTGCAGCGTGCATAGTGGTTTGAGGGATGTCCTGTAGGGGTTATATCAGACACAACAGCTCAGGTATGGTTAAATCAGTTATCAGAAAAAAATGTGAAATGCTTTATAGTTCAGAAAATCTTCTGCTTCTCTGGGAATTATAAAATCATCTGAATAATTTAATCTGGACATGTTTAATGTGAAGCTTCTAGCAGATCTTATAGTCAAAAAGAATTTGATTTAATCTACATATTTCACCTCTACTATGGAGGACTGACTCTGCCATATATAAAATAAATACAGAAATAAATAAATGCTCAATAATTAAATAAGCATAGAATTAATTGCCACCAAAAATACAATAAACAAATAAATCTAAGTAGAAATTTAATTATACTGTGAGACATAAATGTATGTAACTCTTTTAATTAGCTTCTTTATTTATTTGCCTTTTTAATATTTACCTTATTTATTAATTTTTTCCTTTATAATCTTCAACTTTATTTTTTAATTATTCATATCTTTAAGTATTTATTTATGTGTATGCTATAATATTTTTTTTATGGTTTATTCTTCCTTTGTATTTTTTTTACCATAGTTATTTCTTCGCCGCTATTTATTTCTGCCTTCCCTTTTTACATTTCTGTCTGCATTTCTGCCTCATTATGCAAATGAGGAGGGGCGTCTCTTAAGGACTCAACTGCTGCCCATTGGTTGGTTAGCATTTTACTGCATCCGTCGAATCTACATGTCACAACAAAGATGGCCAGTTACGATGAAGTTATCAGTAAGCTGAGGCATTCCGCAACTGTTTTTGAAAACAATGTAATGTTAGAAGTATTGATTTTATTATTTTTCGTTTGGACGCTCTGACTGAACGTGTGTTTCAGTTAGCGGCACACATGGACACAGATGTAGACAATGTAGTGTTTCAGAATTTGGAGGAAGCAATGTCCATGCATGGTGACTGATAATCACTCATTTTACATACTGTTGTCAGCTACCTGAATAGTTCTTTATTCACTCTAGAACGACCCCTACACCATAATAATCTAATTACCTGGATAATAAACTGTGATTAATTCTATCAAATGCTTTCTTTAAATAAAATAAAAAAAACAGACATTGGTAGCTTTCCTGTAACAGTTTTCATCAACCACAAACACCAATATCATTTATAAATTATTCACTTATTGTGTTGCTCTATGAGGTTTCTAACTATATTATCTATTAATGTGGTACTGTGAACGACATCCTACTGTTTCTAAGGGATTTTTTCAAGATAGTGGCTAAAACTGCACTGTATTTATAAACTCTTGGGTAGTTTAACACCTTAATATTAAATAATGCAGAGATTAAATATATCTTCTTATTTTTGTGTATGAATGTTTCTTCTAAACAATATTTCCATATTGGAACCTGTTGTTCTGTAATTTTCCTTTTTTTTTCATCCAGATTTGAATCATCATGCATTCAACTATGCATTTTATTACCTTTGCCTGTTTATTGGGATTTTAATGAATTGACCTGAACCTCTTTTTAGCTTTCATGTCATTGCAGAAACAAGTTTTATTTGTGATGAGAGGAGAAGCCTTTGGGTTTGCAGGATGGATCCATCTGTGTGCATTTGAACCCTTTACAGTCTGAAAACATCACGTCTCATTAATAGGAAATAAGAAAGAGATCAGTCAACAGTTCATTCCTTCTCTTTGCCCAAGTTTATCAAGCAGATGCGCTTGAAGGGAAATTAGGTAGAAGGAACTCAGATAAAAATGGTCACATTGCCTCACAGCAGCAGGTTTTCAAGTCAACAAATTCTGTGTTGTTCCCCTGATGGACTAATGTCTTTATTTATCGGACGTAAGAGAGAATGAATCTTCTGCTTGTGCCTTGTCGTCTGACCTTGGTCCATTTCCTCCTGGAAGTGTGATGAGGAGGAGGCGTGTGTGGAGCGAATGTTAAATATCCATCCTGGTGTGCTTTATCGCCGCCTTACTAACTGACTCATAACTTTTACATGAGGAGAAGCTTGTAGGGCTGTTGGAGTGGCAGATTTACAGATTTTCTCTGGTGCTCTAACTGCACGTCTGACCCGCTCGACCTCAGACTTTACTGCAGGC